CCCCAAAACCCCAAAACCCCAAAACCCCAAAACCCCAAAACCCCAAAACCCCGTTTTTCCCTACACTTATTGAGAAACTATTGATGTTTTCTAAGATATTGGGATAGAAGAGAAAGTGCGTCGCACTTTCTCTTCATCTTGAGATTATTTGTATCCATTGTTACTAACAGGTCTGATTTGATATCCATTTCGTCAATCATGCTGCTCTGGCCGATAGAAGTTTGCCAATTTTCATCAGAGAAGTCAAAGGCTGGCTTCTCTTTGGCCTTAAAAAGATTCTCACTTTTGATCTATGATCGTGAACATACTAGATACCTTCAAGGCTTCTTTGAGGTCTAATTTTCTCTTCTTAATTTTCTCGAGTAGTTTATTTGAAATAATCAACATACTTGCTAGTCTTTATTTGAGGGTTTTGGACTTCTTGCTTCTGTAGAGATCCTTTTCCTTTATTCTTCTTAGAACTACTAAAGCATGAAAAATAATGTCTAACCTTCTGCTAAGTTTCGAGTTATTCTCAGTTTTCGTCTCAGAATTTGTTGGATCTTTCATATGGTTCAGCAACTTCGGAATCCTTTCCTGGTTACCAATTAAGTCTTTTGAAAGCTCTGTGTAGCCCACCCATCTATTATTAGGTGATAAAAATACCTGCTGAGCTTGAGTCCGATTTTGTTCCGAACCTTCATCTTTAACACATAGCTTTTGATGATGTCTTGAATGCTATTTCTGTTATCTTTTTCAGACATGAGGATGTCAATGGCTGTATTTTAGCAGAGATTCTTACTTTTATTTGATAATTTTAGCCTCTGTCTCTTCAGCATAATACTCCTTGGCTTGAGGGTGAATTAAGTTGTGCACACTTTGTCTGATTTCCAATTCTACCTTGGCTCTCTCTTCTTGAAGTTTTAGCATTGATTCTTCTTCCTTTTTGCAACCTATAATAAAGTCAGAGAGCTCTAGTTGTAGAAGTGATATCAAACTCGCTGAAAATTAGAAATTGAGGTTTGTTAATAATCGTGCTAGATATCTCAGCTTTCTTTCTAATATCTTAGTAATAGCTAGAGTGAAGAATGTAAAATTAAGAGTCTTAAGAACTGTAATAATAGCCCTAATGCTATAGGCTTCTTTCTATCTCAAAGCAGCCTTGTTGTTTTATCTAATGGGTGAAAATATTAGCGTAGCTGATATTTCTACTGCATGTAAATAGAAGTAATTCTCAAACCCAATTTGCTGAGTTTCTACCTTATAGTTGGTAAAAATATCAGATTTAGCTTACTATCTTGAATGTTTGACAGGAAATTAACCAAGGGTCTTGGCTTCTCGTCTATTTTAGCTAAACGGTTATTTATTATCGCATACAAAGTAATTCTTCCTTCTTCTCCTCTGCTTCTTGGATGCCCTTTTTAGACTTCTCAGAGAAACTTTGCAATTGAGCTATCATTTTACGTAGGAGTTCAAGGTCGTTATCTGAAGGAGCTTTTTCTTCATCAGCGAAACTACTGGAAGCTAGAGGAGAAGTTCAGTTATGAGCTTACATCTTGAATCTGACATCGAGCCATATCTATCTTCCTCCTTTATTTGCTTCTCTATTATGAATATTAGGCGAGTGTGTTAGGTTAAAAATCATCTGAAAATTTCTGTATGAGCTTCATCGAATAATAAATTTCATTACTCCTTAATTGATCTTGATGATTAGGGATCTCCTTGGAAATCATTGCTGCTATATAACATGTCAGAGATGACTTTTTATGAGATTTCACTTGTGAATGTAGCCTTGCACCTACCCTCTCTATTCCTGCCGATGAGTATGATTTGTGATGAATCTTTGGTGCCTATGCCAATAACTTCAGTAGTCTCTGTCTTGTGTCCCTTCCTTCTATTATTCTTTTTGTGTTTAGCCATTTTACTTATTTAATATTTTAGCTTGACAGGGGTTTTGGGGTTTTGGGGTTTTGGGG